AGTTTTAAAAAGGTTTGAAACCAATTTAATTACTTCAATGCTTATTATTTAGTTGATAGTTCTAACCTGTCGTAAAATACAGTATTTTAAATATCAAAACAATTCTAATACCACTTCTACATATTTTGTAGGTATTCCATTCATTTTGATAACGTCTGTCACGAAAACGTGAGGAATCCACCTATTAATTATTATAACTGGCTATTATTTATAGTTGTGCGACATTAAGCTCACTCTAAACACCAAATGAAACATTTTTTTCTTACAAAAAGATAACTTTGTAATTATTTGCGAAAAGCTTAAGCTTTTCTCGGTATTTTTGACGGTTGATGATATTACGAAGCTGAATTTTTGTATTGTGTAACGATGACATTGAATTACGTGATTTTTTCGACTAATCCCGCCAAAAAATGAGACCGTGCTTTGGTCGCGTGAGTGTTTCGTGTCTCGTGAGCTTTCTAAACAATGTCCATTCATTTTTTTTCATTCATGTGTCAATCTACACTCGGAATTTAATTTGAATGATAGAATCTTTTGAATTATAGGATAGACTCGTTTTCTAATAATAGTAATGGAATGATAGAACTATTTTTTTCTTCTGAAATATGGAAGGAAGTTAACTGGATAAAGATGTCTGACAACTTAAAACTAATCAAACACAGTGGTGTCATTGTTGTAGGAGTATACAGGGTGTATTAATGGGTGTTTAATGACATGCTCATATTTAAGGGGGTGATTTTTAGATCTCTTCTAAGAAAACTTACATCTTAACTTTTCAGATACAGGGTTGTAAATTTTTTTACAAAAAGTTTTTACTTTAATACCTCTGATGTTATTATAGATATCTTTATGAAATTTGATACACGTCTCCGACGTATCAAACACACATTTCTACAGGGTGGTCGAAATTGGTCTGTTGTAACAGAGAAAACCTATTTCCTGACTAGATAGAGCAAAACCGACATAGATGTCATGGGCTCAATTTCTGAGAAACGTTTAATGGCGTAAACCGCCTGTTGATATTTTCACTGCCAACTGAGATACGGGGTCTTTTTGATTTTTTTAGCATTCTGAAAATTGCCCATAACTTTTTTATTTTGCGGAATAATAAAATTCTGTAAAAACGTTATTAAGGCACTTTTTTAAGCACAATCCAGTGGCGTTGTCAGTTTTTTTCTATGCTTGCTCTTTTTGTCAGAAATAAGAAAAAATATAATTTTTTAAATGGAAATCATAGTTGGCTATGAACTTAAAAAAATGCTAGCGTTTAACACTTTCCAACGATATAAATTTATGTGTATTTATTTCTAAAAATGAGAGAAATATTACGTTTTTTATCTTTGTATCGAAGCGGGCCTTGATTTTGTGTTGATCTATTTGCCTAATTATTTTTTATCACAATTTAATATTCTATATTATTATTTATCTGCATAATTAAAAACTTTTGAAAAGGTAAATTAACATTCTATACTAGTATTAGTAATTACAATTTAAATCGATACCGCCATCAAAGATGTTCAAACTGAGCACCCCCTTGTGGAATACACAATAAACATCTTTTGCGCTTTTTGAGTTACAACAATTTATTAAGCGAACTGGTGTAATAAGTCCAAAAGCTTGCCTAGTAGCCTTCTGTAATTCTTCTCTCGTCTCAATGGTTCTTCCCTTATAAGGCCTTAAATATTACTTAAATATAAGGCCTTTTAATTTCCCCCATAAAAAAGTAGAAAGGAGTTATATCACAGGACCTAGCAGGTCAAGATATGGGATCCCTTGTTCCAATCCAATTCCCTCTAAATTCTCCATTTAATAGTGCAGTTGTAACCCTGGCTTTTTAATTGTAATTGGTAATACTAATATAGAATGTTGATTTACTTTTTCAAAAGTCTTTAATTATTCGGATAAATAATAATATTGAATATTAAATTGTGATAAAAAATAATTAGGCAACACAAAATCAAGGTCAATATGGTCAACACAAAATCAAGGCCCGCTTCGATACAAAGATAAAAAACGTAATATTTCTTTCATTTTTAGAAATAAATACACATAAATTTATATCGTTGGAAAGGGTTAAACGCCAGCATTTTTTTTTAAGTTCATACTCAACTATGATTTCCATTTAAAAAATTATATTTTTTCTTATTTCTGACAAAAAAAGCAAGCATAGAAAAAAACTGACTACGCCACTGGATTGTGCCTAAAAAAGTGCCTTGATAACGTTTTTACAGAATTTTATTATTCCGCAAAATAAAAAAGTTATGGGCAATTTTCAAAATGGTAAAAAATTCAAAAAGACCCCGTATCTCAGTTGGCAGTGAAAATATCAACAGGTGGTTTACTCCATTAAACATTTCTCAGAAATCGAGCTCATGACATCTATGTCGGTTTTGCTCTATCTAGTCAGGAAATAGGTTTTCCCTGTTAAAACAGACCAATTTCGACCACCCTGTACATTCCCTGCGAATGCAAGTCTACACCTGAGAAAGATTTCTTCACGAATGCAAACGAAGGGTAGCATTCGTCAGGTCTGTTTTAGGTTTGGATTAGGTTGCTGGGGATTAGGATCATGTTTGATCATCTACTTGGAGGCCTTGGGCTCATTGCGATACCATTGTATTATTGTACCAAATCTTCCTCTCATTATTTCTTTCTGTTAAAGCACTTCCAGCTTTTTGCAAAGTTCTCGATGTCGCTGATGTTGGCTTCTGCTGCTTCCTCTAGTCCCTCCAAAAAACCATGCCCTAAAGTTTTAAAGCGTTGGTATTTTATGGTTTCTAACCACAGCAGGTGCTTTATGGTTTCTACTTCCTCTCCGCATTCTCTGCAGTAGTCGTCGCATCGTTGGAAATCTTCCATTCCACGAGGTTTACCCTCTGTGGGACAGTTTCCAGTGATGAAACCTATAATTATGCGTTCTTTTTGTGCTCTAGTAGTTGTTTTGTCTGTTTGCTTTCTAGCACTGGCCACAGTCTTTGAGCTATAGCGTGTCTTCGGCTTAAGACATCTACAAAAAGCTAGAAAATGTTGGAAAGAGGCGAATTGAAGCAAGTTTTTCGAATTTCGAATCTTAATATAAAATTTTTGTCACAAGAGATTGTCAGTCTATCAGAAGCAATTTAGAAAAATTATTACAGTATACAGACAGGCGAATTTTTGAAAGTTTTGGTTCTATATCGTTATTTGCTTGTCAAGGTACATCAACCTACCAACTTAGATCTTTAATAATTATTGGCAGACCCATTGTATCACTTTAAAGTTGATAATTCTTGGAAATGAAAATTGTGTGGTTCTGAGTGGTTTTCTGTTCTATTAAAGACAATTTTTTGTTATTTATTTCCTTTATTTCAAATGTAATAAGTGATTTAGATTATTGCTGGATAATGAAGAACTTCTTTAATAACAATTAGTGTCGTATTTTTATAGAAAACTTGATATTAGAAGTAAGTAAAACATATATTTACTTCGAATTATGTATTTGTTTTTATTTTTTTATTGTAAATCGAAAAGTTAATTATTAACCGTGACCAAGGGGCGTTCATTGACTTAAATTACTTTTATATTTTAAACTTTGTCAAATTGTTGGAATAACAGTAGATTAATTTATTACTACGAACTAAAGAGGTTATTGTTTCTTTCTCACCTGAGAAGGTTATGTCGCAGATTTAATAATGTCTTTCGGCTACGTCATAAATTTTTGATACTAGTTAACAAAATTTTAGTTTAGTTTAAATAGAGAATAGTTAGTATTTTTAAAAAATGCAAGTAATTGAAATCTGTATTTTTACTATTTTTTTATTTTTTTTTATTAAATTGTTTGTTTAATACTAAGGTTATTTATATTAATTCTCTTTTCTATTTATATTTTTTAATGTTTTTATTAATAGGGGTATATATCATTACAATTAAAAATACTGAGTAATTTTTATATTAAAAATATATTGTGAGATCAAATAATACAGCAAAGTAAAAGACTAATTTACCACAATACACCAAAACATTTTATTTTTGCACTGGACGCACATTTCGCTAACCATGTTAGCATCATCAGCAGATAATTAAAAACTTTGCGTTTGAGTTTTAATTTTTTATCATCTAATGATGATACTAACAGTTAGCGAAACGCGCGTTGATTACTACAAAGGCGGATTATTGTCATAACGAAGGTTCCAATCCTCAACTGTAATCATAATAATACACAGAATATATTTTTAGTAACCAAAAAAGAATATTACAGTTGAGAGTTGGAACTTTTGGTATTACAACAACAAAATAAAACACTAATTCAACACAATACACGAAAACACTTTACTTTTTCACTCAATCATCTACTAATGATGCTAACATAGTTAGCGAAGCGCGCGTTCAGTGTAAGAGTAAAGTATTTTGGTGTATTGTGGTGAATTATTGTTATTTTACAAGAAAGAATAATTTGAAAATTTTTACACATACCTTCGCCAAATCTTGGACTATTTTTCCAATCCAATTCTGGTTTGGACTCTAGAATACTACTGAATATTCCCAGTTTGTTCTTGTTATAACCTTATATTTTGTTCAAACTCGCAAAGTATTTGAGTTTTGATTACTAAATTCTTTATTGAACACATATAGATTATATCTTGTTGATCTCGAAGACATTTTTTATCTACATTTTCTTTAATTTTGTTGAAACATTGAATCTTCTAATAAAACATAATTATACCACTACAGTTTTTGTAAATACATGATGGTTAACTATTATAAAGAATCAACTAGATGTAAACTGTCCTGATAAAAGAAGCAAACAAACCAAAGAAAATTGTCAAACAACAATTAATCATCCAATTTTTGGATAGTAATTTCGCAATATTTTAAAATTATATTAGAATTTCATTCTTTTGTGTGGCCATGTCAAAAAATAAGATTTGCAAATTTTTGTAGATGCCTTCCTAATCTCGGCATTGTACTGTCAAAATGCGGATTATTTTTGATTTTCGTACGAAAAGCAAACAGAGCTTGTATATAATCGCGACGTAAAAGTGTTAATGATAAGTTCTGTATCAGTACTTCTTAAAACAAAGTCTTTCTCGGCAGCTGGAAAGAAGAGACTGGTTCCTGGGAAAATGTTGGGAAAATTCTTGTTTTTCACGGTGGTAAGTATATTTATATTGTAACTAGAGGAAATTACAAGCTATAAGAAGCATGAGATGTAAAATAATTTCTTAAATTTATAATTATTTGTATATTGTTTTTTATAAAGCTTTAAATCCAAGTGGTCATTTATTGAAAAATCGTTTTTTTATGAAACTATTAGACTATTTTAATAATTACAGTTGAGGGTTGGAACCTTTGGTGTTACACAGCAAAATAAAAACACTAAATCACCACAATACACCAAAACACTTTTACTTTTACACTGGACGCGCGTTTCGCTAACCATGTTAGTGTTTTTATTTTGCTATTTTAATAAATTAAAAAATACTAATAGTGTACTTCAACCAGAGAACCTAATTTTGCAAACAAACTTTAATCAGTCACTGTTGTTTTCTGTATTTTAATATTTCTTAATAAGGGTTTCATAAGAAAGTAATAATTTGTTATTTTAGATTTGGAAGTATAATTGTGGTTGTAACTAATTTTTGAGGCTTGTTAATAATGTGCGGTTTTACTTTTTATTATTGTTTTTCATTGACATTGTACCATGCGATCGAAAAAACGGCGTCAAAGAGGGTTAGGGAATAACAATCGATGATAAATTTGGCAAAGTTAAGCCCTAGACTTTATTTACCTGGCTTGTGTGCTTGTTGTTTATTTTTTATATTGAGTAAAATTTAAAAAGTTTAAAATTCAAGAAAAAATAATTTTTTGGAAATAGATTATACAGGGTGGCACACCTCATTCGTCTCGGTTGATTATACAAAAACGGAAAGATGTAGTAACAAACTATTTTATGGGTATATGTGGGAAGGTAATGTGCATCATTTAAAATTATTTTCAAATGTACAGGGTGTGTCAGAGTCAGAACTAAGATCCATACCAAAGTTATATTTTTTCTTATGGAACACCCGGTATTTTATTTCATTCTTGGATTCTTGGACATAAAATAAGGCATTTATTATAAGGGTTTAATATGTCTAAAAGCTTTAGTTTTTTAGATATTTAAAGATGTTTAAATATGCATGCTATAATAAAAAGGTTTGTCAACACCTTGTACATTACTTTTCAGAATTAATTCTGGTGCTGATTTTCAAGCCAGAGAATTAAACTTTACTATAAAATTTGATTGCCTCCTTAAATGTATACAGAGGTATCAAAAATTGCTGGTCTATTTTAAATATTTATTATAATATTTTAAAAACTTCGTTATTTCAATCGCTTGTATGTAATCAACTATGTATTTTTTTCAAATAAGTCCAAGCAGATTTAAATGCTCTTTCAAACTATATTAGGGTTTCTTATACCTATCTGGCTCAGATTTGGAATAAAAAGCGATTTTTCAAAAAAAAAAAAGATTTGTGTGTCTGGAAACGTGTACTATCCTTTTTTAATCTTTCTTTCATCAATTTTATGTCAGCTTTTAGTAAATCACGTCTAGAGATCGATCTCGTCAAAATTACCATTGATTGTCATACCCCGCCGTCTTTGGCGCCTTTTTCTTTCGATCATACTGTATTATTCATGCTTTTACAGATTTAAGATTTCTAACAATGCGAGATAATATAAAATGTTTATTCTTATACACTCTATATCCATAGGAAGATACTTAATTGAATTTGCATTTATTTGATATTGTTCTTTTTATACAATGAGTTGATTAACCAGAACAATGTTGTATATTTTTAACAGTTTTTAAGTGATTTTTGATTTTCTTATCTTGTAGTGTTGTGAAATAAAAGACGTTTAGTTAAAATAAAAAAAAAAACATTATACCTAGGCCTTAACAAAAACCTAACAACCATAAAATACATATCGTCCTATTGCTGCCAAAAGTCACTAACTAATATTTTTCCGAACAACCAAATTCAATCACTAACTATGTTTTGAAGCGGAGAATCGATTGTAAAAGTCATTAGATACGATTTCTGTCTATTTATGTTTTTTTTTAATACCGAATAGTTACTAACTATAACATCTTTATGCAATGCAATTCATCTTTAGACGCATTTTTCTCGGAAGTAATAAAAAGTAAGTTAGTGACTTTTGGCAGCAATGGGACGATATAGCCCTATAATAATCTAATTAAATATCAAACATGGGAAAACGTAATAGCGCTTTCTTGGTTTTTTGTTTGGGAATAATAATAATAATAATAATTTGCTTTATTTTTTAACAGATTACAAAATTCAATTACAACACAATATTAATACAAATACATAAAGCAATAACATACAGGGTGAGTCTTATTCAGAGTGAGTCACTTATTTAGTGCAAAATATATTTTCAGGGCTGGTAGATCTCAAAAGAAGAAACATAATATTTCTTTACTGTTTTTCAAATAAGTTCAAAATAAACGAGTTATTCTACTTTGAAAATTTGAAAAAAAAATTGCTTCATTTTTGAGAACCACTCTTTTGTGGGTTTTCTTTCTTTAAATTTAATCTACAACCTATGTTTTCATATTATTGAGAAATTATGTTTGTTAACTAAAAACTAAAAAGTTTCCAATATTTGTTTCAAAAAATTCGAAATTTTAATTTTTTTTTTAAAGACCCTAACCAACTACACCTAAAAATATTTACTTATTTAAGACTCATCCTGTATACAGGTACATATTACACATGATGGTTCACAAAGAGTCACTCCCGGAATTTGCAGTCTTTATTTAAAAAAAACAAGATTATAAGGCTGAGGCTTTTTAATGGATTAGGGATTTTTTTCTATTTAATTTTTAAATTTGCTAAAGTATATGAAAATTCGAGGACAACCAACTGGACCTCTCACCTAAAATTTTCAAATGAATAGTTTTAAAGCTTAGGAAGATAGTTAGAATCGGTGAATGTTTTATATACCTTATTAATATTTAATTATAAATACAGGGTTGTTCACCACATACGACACGGAGTATTGTAGCTAAACGATTAGATTTTTACAAATTGTAAGTTTTGGGTTCGTTTTAGGTCTATTAGAGCTACAATTTAAAAATATTTTTACAAGATACAGAGTGTCCCAAATAAGTAAAAAATATAGTTGTATTTTTTAAATGGAACACCCTGTATATTATTCTATTTTTGGATTCTACGATTGAAATAAAGGTAAATTTGATTAAGGTTTATCACACTTAAACCTTACGGTTTTTGAAATATTTTCAATTTTATAAAATTGCAGTAAAAAATTTAAGGCTTTATTTCTCCAAGGGTATCAAAGTTTTTAATACTAAATATTTACTGAAGATTATTTATTGATCAGATATTGTGTTGCAATAATAAAAATTTTACTACCTTATACAGAGTGTCCAAAAATTTATATTAAGTAATTACTAGCTTTAAACGGCAATAATTTGTTTAATTTAAACGGAACACCCTATATATTTTACGTGAATCAGATGCAGAATGTAATTGTCTATCAAATTCTATTGTTCCATTTTTTACCCATCTCTTCAAGTTTTCATAGAAAATGCATTTTCTTATAATTTAGACCTCATTTATCACTATACCCATGGAACATTGACATTTTAGCTTATTTTTAAAAATGTAACAAATTTTCAAAGGGTACAGATACTAATATTGTTGATATAGTTCGCTTATTTAATTAAAAAATAAAAAAAAACTGTTTAAATATTTTTTGTTAAAGAGGACCAATTAATATGATGCCAGTATTCAAACTATATTAATTGACTGTTTACGTTTTAGTAATAATTGCTCCAAATACTAAAAAACTAAATTTTGTGTGTGTATTAGACAGTGTGGTAAAAAGTAACACCTTATAAATTTTATTTCATTTATTGACGAATGCTTATTTATAAAAACAGAGACATTCATTTTTATATCTTATTATTATATTGATTTCTGAGCCAAATCCACATTTATTTAGAATATTTTATCAATTAAAACAATTTAAAAGTATGTAATTAACTAATTTTTGGTATTTTTGGTAGGAAATAATGGTGGTATATTTAATTGGTACACACTTTTACAAAGATTTAAATAGTTTTTTTTGTATGCCAATGGGCTTGCAATATTTACCACCTGTACAATTTGTACATATTATGGTGCTATAAAAAAATCTGAAATGTCAATATTCCATGGGTATAGTGATAAATGAGGTCTAAATTATAAGAAAATGCATTTTCTACGAAAACTTTGAGATGGGTAAAAAATGGTATAATACAATTTGATAGACAATTACATTGTGCATCTGATTCACGTAAAATATATAAGGTGTTCCATTTAAATTAAACAAGTTATTGCCGTTTAAAGCTAGTAATTATTTAATATAAATTTTTGGACACTCTGTATAAGGTAGTAAAATTTTTATTATTGCAACACAATATCTGATCAATAAATAATCTTCAGTAAATATTTAGTATTAAAAACTTTGATACCCTGGGAGAAATAAAGCCTTAAAATTTTTAGAGGGTGTTCCATTTAAAAAAATACAACTATAATATTTTTTACTTATTTGGGACACTCTGTATCTTGTAAAAATATTTTTAAATTGTAGCTCTAATAGACCTTCAACGAACTCATAACTTACAATTTGTAAAAATCTAATCGTTTAGCTACAATACTCCGTGTCGTATGTGGTGAACAACCCTGTATAGTATTTAAATTATAAATATTTGAGATCACTTGGTCAGTTTGAATATTTTGTCAACATCATACGAATAATTTTTAACTGAACTCAATATGAGGAAGAACAAAAATTAAATTAATATTAACAGATCTGTACAAAAATAAAAAATAAAGCAAGAAATAATAAAAAAACAATAGAGAAGAAATTAATTTTATTTCCGTTTCTTTTAGGCCTTTTTGGGTATACTTAACCAATCATGTGCCACTCCATTAACCAAAGAAATCAGTCTGTCGTCGATTCAACCCAAGAACACCGACCTCGCCGAGCTGATCCTGAAACAACTCATAGCTGAACCGAAACAAACCCTAGCTTCGCTTGCTCAATTATTCGCCACCAATGAAAACCCTCAAGTTTCCGACATCCTGGACATCATAAACCTCAATTTTCAGTCTAGAATGTTTGTTCTTAATGGAGACTACATAGAACTGAACCCCTTAGCTTTGAATCAATTTCTTTCATCCAAATCTTCAGATTTGGTGAAGGTTTTGTTTCCCCAGGATCCAATCAGGCAACTGATGGCACAAGGTGTCCTCCAGGTTCCCTTACAAAAGGCAGTCGAAGATGCACTTCCTGAAATCGAAGCCAAGAGAATTCCAGTTGAAAGAATAACATCTCTGTATCCCGTTCAAGATCGCAGCCTTCTAACCAGAGATTCAATCATCGATGAGATCTACAGCGCAATCATTTCAAGCATTCAAAACGCCCTTTGCGAAACTGTAGTTGATTTCCTCGTTGATGAAATAGAAAATATTATAGACAGTATTTCATCGATCCTCAGCTCTTTGGAAGATACAAACATTACCTTTATCGACGATTTAGTTGATGAGGCACAGTCTATTCTAAGTAACGTCAGCAGCTACGTTTCTTCAACTCTAAGCGAATTGGCTACAGATTACTGCACTAATATCACGATAAGCAGGAAACGCAGGGACTTGATGGAAGTAGAAGGTCGGGAAATAGAACTGTATGATTTAGAAAAGAGCGTTCATGTTGTTAAGAGAGATACGGCTTTAATCAATATACTGTTGGCATTATCAGATGTTATTGGATCCTTTTTGGTATCTACACTCAATAGTATACTAAAGGCATTGGCTGGTTGGCTCATATCTTACATCGAAAGCATAATTGATTCATTTTTAGAGGATACTGTTTTGTCGGCAATCGAAAGTGTGATCGATGTGATTCTTTCTACTTCTTAATTAAAGCAAATATTGTAATATACTAGTAGAAGTAACTGGACTTGGTACTATGTGTGGATTATTTATTTGTAAATCAATTTGAAAAATAAATTATGATATAGATGTGAATTATTCTGTTTTATTGAATTGCATACATTTTATTGATTGTGATCAGATTAACTGAACCCAACCAGACCCTAGCCTCATTAGCTCAGTTATTTGTCACCAACAAGAACCTCCAAGTATCCGACATCCTGGACATCATAAACCTCAATTTTTAGTCTAAAATATTTGTTCTTAATGAAGACTCTATAGAACTGAACCCCTTAGCTTTGTATCAATTTCTTTCATCCAAATCTTCAGATTTAGTGAAGGTTTTGTTTTTTGTTTCCCCAAGATCCGATCAGTCAACTGATGCCACAAGGTGTCCCCAGGTTCCATTACAAAAGGAAGTCGAAAATGCACTTCCTGAAATCGAAGCCAAGAGAATTATAGTTGAAAGAATAATGTCTCTGTGTGAGTGTATCGGATTGATTTTTTTCTAAATGGAACATCCTGTATATTATTGCATTTTTGGCTTTCTTTCAGATTACTTTACATAATGCTTAGATATCAGTAAATATATTTCGATAGTTTCAGAAATATTAATAAATAAATAAAAAATATATGTTTTTTAGCCTTTCTTAAAAAAAATATTAAAAATACAACTCTCCTGAAATCAAAACTATATTAGGTATTTACTTTAGATGGCCTGTACTTACTTTGCTACAAATATGGTACTTGTATATCGTACAGGATGTTTAAAATTCTACGCCAAAGTTTCTGAAATATAAAATAATTTTTCTTTGTTTTTTAAATGGAACACCCTGTGGAATTAAAAAATAAACATTTTTTGTATTTAAAGTATTTCAAAATTTTTAATGGTTTCGCAGATATTCCGGGTTTTATATTTCATATAGCATTTTTCACAGTAAATTTTTATCGAAGCCTTCTTCTTCTTCTAGTGCAGATCCATTAATGGATGTTTGCGATAACATTTTTCATTGCTTCTCTGTTCCGGGCGGTGTCTATTAACGACTGAACATCGAGTAGCCCTGTCCACTGTCTAATATTCCTCAGCCAAGACATTTTCTTCCTTCCGATACCCCTCCGACCTTCGATCTTGCCTACTATCAACAAATGCAAGAATTGATATTTGGGGTTTCGCATTATGTGCCCCAGGTATGCGGTCTTTTTCTTTTTAATCAATTCAAATAATTCACGCTCTTTGTAAACGCGTCTGAGAACTTCCTCATTTGTCAATCTAGCCGTCCAAGGTATCTTCAGATTCTGCGATATGGCCCCATCTCAAAAGCCTCCAATTTGTTGATGGTAGCTGCTTTCAATGTCCAACCTTCCATACCATAAAGGAGCACAGATCACACATAACACTTTACGAATCTTAATCTAAGGCTAAGGTCAAAATCAGAACAGACAAGTATTTTTCGAAATCTCAAGAATGCCTGCCGAGCTTGTTCGATGCGACATTTAATTTCCTTGTCTGATGTCCAATTTTCGGAGAGCCAGATGCCCAAGTACTTAAATTTATCTACTCTTTCTATGGGCCTTGAGTTAAATGTTAGGATGGAGTTTATAAACACATCTGGGTTTCTGGATATAATCATAAATTTGGTTTTCTTGATGTTGATGTTTAAACCCATTGCTTTGCTCTGTTCTCCTACCTTGTTGACCAGTTGTTGTAGGTCGTGTATATTGTCTGCAATTAAGACCGTATCGTCGGCATAGCGAATATTATTAATCCACACTCCATTAACTTTGACCCCCATTTCCACGTCCTCCAGAGCCTCTTGGAAAATAGCTTCTGAGTATAAATTAAATAGGAGTGGAGACAGCACGCAACCCTGTCGCACCCCCCTTCTAACTTGTATGGGATTGGACATGGTATTGGACAATTTTATTTGTGCTGTTTGGTTCCAGTATAACTTCTCAATGCATTGGATGTCTTTATGATCTATATCAAGTATTTTCAGAAGCTGCATTAATTTGTGGTGCTGTACGCGATCGAATGCCTTTTCGTAGTCTATGAAACACAGGAACACATCCTTTGTCTGATCGTAGCAGTTCTGGACAAGCACCTGTGTGGCAACTATCGCTTCCCTGGTGCCTAACCCTTGTCTGAACCCCATTTGCGAATCGCTTATGCCCCTTTCACATTTTTTGTAAATTCTCTGGTGTATTATTTTCAGAAATATTTTTAGGATATGGCTCATCAGGCTGATAAGTCTGTGATCTTCACACTTCCTGGCATTGGTCTTCTTAGGCAGGGGTATAAAAGTAGAACGCAGCCACTGTTTGGGGTAGTGACCTGTCTCATATATAATATTGAATACTTTATGTAATGCTGTAATGCTTCATCTTCTCTTTCATCTAGCAGCTTAAGTATTTCTACAGGAATTTCATCTGGCCCAGCCGCTTTGTTATTTTTCGAATTAAGTATGGCTTTTTCAATCTCATCTTTAGTGATCGATGGGCCGATTAGTAAGTTATTGATATCAGCTGAGGGTCTTTCATCGTCAAAAAGTTCTTCTATATACTTTTCCCAAACATTCTCCATCTAATAGTAAAATAACACACAGGGTGTTACGATATTTATAGCAAAGTAAGCATAGACCATCTAAAGTAAATACCCAATATAGTTGTGATTTCAAGACAATTCTTGTATTTATAATTATTTTTTTAATGAAGGTTGAAAAAAATATATTTTTTATTTATTTATGAATGAATATCTCTGAAACTACCAAATATATTTACTCTTAGGATTATGTAAAGCGATCTGAAAGTAAGCCAAAAATGCAATAATATACAGGGTATTCCAACCAACTGAGCCACCCCGTAGAAGTTAAAATATTCTCCTGAAATACATCCTCTTACATACTTTAGGTTTGCACTTAAACAAAATTCCCGAGTTTTTATTCTAGAAGCTACAGATGCCCGACGCGACGCACTATTGCCGAACTCTATTTTAAATAGAACATAAAACAATATTTGTGCATAATTACTTAGCTTAGTAAGAAAATAGAAACCACTGAGATACCATATTGTACAAATGCTGACTGCAGTGATAATCAAAATGCTTATTAAGAACCCCTGGTACTAAAGCATCTAGTTGTATTTTACGAAGAGTATATCATTATTAGAGAAAGTTTTTGCAGATATTTGTATTTAACATTTTACCATATTTTTTAACATCCTGTAAGTCATGGTTTACACGTTACCGGAAATGTGTTGTTGTTCTTCTGAATTAACTTGCAACTCAAAAGTACATTTTCTTATTGGATATTATTTATTCATATGTTTCGTTCTACATTAAAATATTGTAAAATTAATTATTGTTCCAGGTAGACAGTATACTCAGAGCGAACGAATTTACTCAAGAATTTAAAGATGGTTCGGTGAAATCGTACGACTCAAATCAACTTCCCTCCAACAATCCAATAGAAGATACAAGATCTGAGGCTTCGTGTCTGCTCACAACAGGTACATTAATTTTTAGGCTGATGATTTATTTTTCTATCTTTTTTTTACGATTATGACGTTTTTATTTTTCAATGTGTAAATTTTTAATATAGGAAAAGTTAAAAAATAGAAAATAATAAAAAATAAGCTTCTAAAGCTTCATCAGATTGTGTATATCAAAACATTTTTATAATATTAGTGTATATTTTTTATGTTTCTTGTAACCAGGTCTCTTAGTGGGCGTATTTGATGGACATGGTGGCGGAGCATGCGCACAAGTCATAGCGAAACGATTATTTAACTATATAACGGCATGTCTGTTGCCCCACGAAAGCACTTTGCAGTATCTTCTAACCCTGGATCAGCCTAAACCACCAGATTTGATAGAAAGTTACAATGACAAAGTACAATTTGTAGAAGATGTTAGGGATATTTATAAGGAAAGTTTTACCAAGTTTGTCAAGGAATTGTCTGAGGTAATCGAAAATATTGAATATTTTTAAATTAACATCGATATTACAAAAGAAATAGTTAAGTTATGTATTTTAAATTGCAATAATTTCCATGCAATAGTTATTCTTCTTCTGGTATCGTCCCTGTATTCAGGCGTTGTCGATCTCCATGACTGTTTCACTGTATAGGTTTCTATTTTTTGCTGCATGACACATTCACATGTGTTTTCATCCCCCAGACCTGTCCTATTTCGTATGTTTTTCAGCCTTGGCAGTCTTTTTCGACCTGTCCACCTTCTACCCTTGACTTTTTCTTGTAGAATTAAACGAGGAACATAGTATTTAGTGCCTCTGATTATATATGTCCGAAGTAGCGAAGCTTTCTGGCCTTAATGGTGTGTTTAAGAGTTCCCTATCTACCGGGTGCGGCTCAAAAGTGACTCACCCCTATAACTTTCTTATTTATTCATTAACGTATTCAATTGTTTTCAGTCACTTTCTGTTTCACAGGAAATGACTAGAAAATGACACTCTCATGAATAGAATGACATATCATATGTCAACTTCTGAGACCCTCGCTTAAAAAATCGTATTTTAAATTTCAATCTAGTGAGCCATGACTGTATTAAAACACTAGTTTGGTAACAACTAGTCACCCGTCAACAACACCAATCAAGTGAATTTTTAAGTATGAGAAGCCTGATATAATCCTACTTCTTTTGGTAACGATGTAAACATTAAAAAAAATACAATAGTTTTTTTTATATCGATTCATATGAGACAATATTGAATTTTAGTGGTTTCTGGTGGTTTCGAAGATACAATTTAGTGGGGAGCCACTTAAATAGTTGGTCACACTGCTTAATACAAGTTGAACAGTAGCCGTGATAAAACACACTCTTCTTACTCCTCGTTTTATTGGGATGTCATTTGTAATTCGTTCATGTGGCAGCAGTTTGATGGAAATTATTGCAAAATTATTATCTGTTGTTAAAGTTTAATATTATAGTAACAAGTAAATGTTTCAGGAAGGCTACAAACAACATTTCGACATGAGCAAGGCTATAGAGCGGGCATTTTTGAGGCTAGATAACGATCTAAGTAAAGAGGCTATACCCGTAAATGGGGAGATTAATCTAAAAACATTATCTGTGGCCATGAGTGGTGCTGTGAGTTGCGTGGCTCATATCGACGGTCCTCATTTGCACGTAGCAAATCTAGGAGACTGCTGTGCAGTTCTAGGTTAGTTTATCAGATAAAGAGAATAGAATGGATTCTATTCAGGGTATTCCAAGTTTTTTGTAGTCAAAAATTATTAAAATCGAGAGAATTTAGTACATAAGTTACAAGGCGCCTTCTCCTTATTCATAATTTTATGAATAAATTTTTTAATTGTCTATCAAATTGTATTATGCTATTTTTTACCTATATCTTTAAGTTTTCGTAGAAAATGCATTGTGCATCTGATTCTCGTAAAATATACAGGGTGTCCCATTTAAATTAAACAAGTTATTGTTGCTTAAAAAGTTAGGTTTGTTAAAGCTAGTAATTATTTAATATAAATTTTTAGACACTCTGTATAATATAGTATTTTGTTTATTATTGCAACACAATATCTGATCAATAAATAAACTTCAGTAAATATTTACTATTAAAAACTTTGTTACCATTGGAGAAATGAAGCCTTAAAATTTTTACTACAATTTCATAAAATTGAAAATATTTCCAAAACGGTAACCTTTAAGTGTGATAAACCTTAATCAAATTTACCTTTATTTCAAACGTAGAATCTAAAAACAGAATAATATACAGGGTGATAAATTTAAAAAAATACAACTACATATAATATTGTTTACTTATTTTTTACTTGTAAAAATCTAATCGTTTAGATAGGATACTCCGTGTCGTATGTGGTGAATAACCCTGGATTTTCTTTAATATGGGATTAAGGGTGGCTGCAACGACGCGCGACGTCCCGTAATCCTGCTGTTAAAGCATAACAGTTGGTTTTTATATATTGTTGCGAAACCAGTCCCGCTTTAATATGACCTAGAAGAGCCTGGAAATTCGGGAACACAGCGACCAAGAATTTTCCAGCACCGACCGCCCAGAACATTCTGGTCTCTCCGTCGCATGCGTATATATACCGAGGCCGGTGCACAAGAGAGAGACGATAAAAAACTACAGTGTGCTACGGTCGCGGCTTATTTGCTTTTTGCTCTAAATAAATTAAAAATAAATTCAATAGATGAATAAGTTTGTAAATAGGTCTTTAAGTGTTTTATCGTTATTGTTTTGTTACTTAGTGTAAAATAAATTGTGTTTAAATAAATTAGACTTTCTATCCACACGGAACCGACGAAAAACGTAACAATATGTATAAAAACCAATTGTTATGTTTTAACAGCAGGATTACGGGACGTCGTTGCAACCATCCTTAAACTGAACTTCACTTAAACTTCTTTAGATATCTGAAGATTTATATGTGGTAAATCATATTTTAGGATCTTTATCTGAGACTGGTTCGTGGATACCGAAAAAACTAACCGAGGAACACAACGCCTACAACCCCATCGAATACGACAGAGTCATGTCGGAGCACCCGAAACAGGAGAAAGAAACTGTGATATCTATGGGCCGATTGCTAGGGCAGTTGGCACCGCTGCGAGCCATGGGAGATTTCCGATTTAAGTGGAGTAAGGTTGGCACTACTTCCAGCATTTTTACTTTTGGATTATTAAGGTTAAAATTAATGTTGTTTGTTACTTTTAATAGGAAATCATGGTTGATGTGGTAGCTAAAGCTTTTGGAGAACAGATGATACCGCCCAATTACCATTCGCCCCCGTATCTTACAGCGTTGCCGGATGTGATTCACCATAGATTAACTCCTAGGGATAAGTTTTTGATAATAGCGACTGACGGATTGTGGGACTGCGTAACTCCTTTAGAGGTAAGGAATATAATAAAGTAGTAGAATATACGGGGTGTGTGCGTCTTAGAAGTGGCTCACCCCTATAACTTTTTTATTTTTTCACATAAAAAAAGAGATTTGGTATGTTAGTATATGACATAAATTAGGATTGACTAACGTATTCAATTGTTTTCGGTCACTTCCTGTTTCACCGGAAATGACTACAACTTTTGATTTTTAAATGGCACCCTCGGTATTTCTTTACTTTATTCGATAGAAAATGACACTCTGAATAGAATGACATATCATATGTCAACTTGTGATATTTTCGCATATGGTTTATTTGAAATTGTAACATGCGGTTCATAACGACAATTTGACTCGAAACCAAGTGTGTGGTACCAAATTATTCGTAAAAAATGCTTTTCCCAAATGTGCTAATGAACCACACTCGTTCCAATATTTCTCCAATGCTCCTTGATTAAAAATAGTGTTTTTAACACAGCTGTGGCACTCTAGATTAAAATTTAAAATACGACTTTTTTTATGCGAGAATATCAAAAGTTGACATATTGTATTGTATTTTGTATTTGTATTTTACTAAGAGCTCCACTGAGCTCTACAAGCTCTTTAATAGAAAACCTCAAGACCCAGCCTTTTAACATAGGCCGTTATGTCCTAGTGTGATATGTCTTCTAAGTCTGATAGGTCTAGCGTGGGTTTGCCAAACACCTCAAACCTGGTCCTGCCCCCAGCGGGGCAGGTACACATAACGTGCTTCGTTGTTTCGTTCTGCTAGAATTGTCTTGGCATGTTCCATTCCGGGACTGTCATACCAGTCCCGAAACGTCGCACCCCTAACCCATTCACAGAGCCTCTCTCTTGCGAGATTTTTTGGTACGCTAAGTGTCGGTTCTGGGCCCACGAATGGCGAGCCTGCACCAGTTTTGGCGAGGGAATCAGCACGTTCATTTCCCTCTAGGCCGACATGTCCCGGTATCCATATTAGCGACACTTTGTTTCCATCTCCTAATATATTGAGTAGTTTCTTACAATGAAGAATCGTCATGACATATGATATGTCATTCTATTCAGTGTCATTTTCTATCGAATTAAATAAAAAAATACCGAGGGCGCCATTTAAAAATCGAAAGTTGTAGTCATTTCCGGCGAAACAGAAAGTGACCGAAAACAATTGAATATGTCAATCAATCCTAATTTATGTCATATACTAACATACGAAATCTCTTTTTTTTTATCTGAAAAAATAAAAAAATTATACGGGTGGGCCACTTTTGAGACGCACCCGGTATAGTCCATCCATATCTGTAAGCTCGCAGAAAACTTACGTCTTTTTTCGATTTAACTCATTTTTCGAAAGCTGGCTTAGGACTTAAAATTTAAGTAATTTTCAAAATTATTTGCTATTTAAATTTTTTTTCCGAAATAGAAAAATAATTGAGTCATTAAAAAAGGCTTAACTCTTTTAAAAGATTTAAGTTTTTTTAGAAAATACTTAAGTCGTTACAAATATGTAAGTCTTTTTATGAAAGACTTAAGCCAAATTTTTATATACACTCATCGGCAAAAGTCTTGCACCCCCCAGATAAATTTATTTCTTTGCATAGCATATTGTTGTGGCTATGTGTACATATACCTTAATATGTCGTGGGCATACTGCCAAAAGTGACCAAGTCAGTTTTTTCTTGATTTTAAGGTAACATGTCCAAGTTAGTCAGAAGTTACAGCGGAATATCTGGAAAAAGTGGCCAAGTCAAAATATAACACATAGAGGGCTCCACACGAATAACACTATTATGACCAAGTCAAAGTATTTAGGTTGAGTACAGGCACAAATGAGTATGTTGACTTGGTCATTTTTTCACTTCTCCAACAAGCTTGATACCTATACTATTACGACTTGGTCACTTTTTAATGTCCAGGCAGTGTGTTCACGTGCATAAGAAAATCTGAGGAAATTATTGTGCTTGTAATATGGCTTCCAGAGGAAAAGTTTTAGTGCAAATGTGTTTGGATAGTTCAGAAACGGTTGCTTCAAATATATATAATGAAGGTAAGAATTTTATAGTTGTTATTGATTTTTTTTATCGATTTAACCTATTTTGAGGTTATGTTGAACTCGAAAAAATATTTTGGGATTGTAGACCGGCGGTGCATTTTAAAAGTTTTTTAGTAGGATGAAATAGGGCCAGCTACTAATAACACGTATTGTTTTTAGAACCGTGTTGTTCAAAATCGTTCGTCCAAAGGGTCTCCACTTTATCTGCGGCAAGCAACATTGACGAAGGTAAATACTTTTAGTTTGATTGTCTTTTTCCTTACTTACTTAACATTTTTTAATTAGGTTCATTATGCTCTAGTGCAACGCAAGATTGCCTAAGTACGATAAGTAATGCCCTATTGATGAACATTTAAGGCAGGAAAATGTTCCTACACAATATGAAAACGATGGTTCGGACTTTTCAGCTTGGCAGTGAAGCGATAATTATATCCCGAGTGATAATGGGGGCCAATCAAACATAGAATCAAGTTCTGATAGCGATACTCCTTATCAAAACGAATGTGCCGTTGGAAAAAAGCTGATCCTCCACATTGGAAAAAATATTAATAAAAAAAAGAGAAAATCGCGTTTGCCATACGAATCCAAAGGAATAATTAGAGCAGCAAAGAAACCTAAAGTCACGAATTGCAATTCTTGCAAGTTTAAATGCTCACTTCATTTTGATGACCCACTTAGAGACCTGTTATGTCTCCCGAATTTTGGAAACTAGATTACAATCGCCAAAAAGACTTTATTTCTCTTGTGTTTCAAGCAAAGAACCTGCTTGTAGAAGAATTCGATCTGGGAAAGGTGTACAAAAAACTAGTAGCCGGTATTATTATTTCTTAAGCGGGTATCAAAAGTTAGAGTTTGCAAAATGTTTTTTCTGCAAACTTTGTGCATTAGCCATGGCCCGGTAGACAAGGCATTTTCTGGGGTGAATGAAACAGGAATATTTGCTGCAAAAGATAAACGTGGTAAAAAAGAGCCTGCTAATAAAACAAAACCAGAAATCATTGCTGAAATCAATGCTCACATAAGAAGTTTTCCGACTATGGCCTCTCATTTATTGTAGAGCATCGACTAAACGAGAGTATTTAGATGCAAACTTGTCTATTTCAAAAATGTACGCCTTATATGCTGAGAATTGTAACAACAAAAATAAGGAATCTGCATCCCAAATAACCTAACGCCGCATATTTTGCAACAACTTTAACTTTTCTTTTTTGAAGCCGAAAAAAGACCAGTGCTTGACATGTGCGAACTACTTGAAAGAAAAATCAGCTGACATAGAAGAAAACTACCAATGTCATATTCGGAGAAGAAACGAAGCAAACAATGCAAAAAAATTAGATAAGGAGCGTGCAATGACTGATGATTGTTTCGTAAGTGTCACCTTTGATTTGCAGAGCGTTCTGCAAATACCATCCTCAGAATGTTTCACTAATGTACTATAGCAGAAAGCTATATGCGTATAATCTTACAATTTACGAGGCAGCTTCACAGAAAGCCCATTGCTACGTGGACTGAGATTAATGGTCAGAGAGGTAGTTCGGAAATAGGCACATGTCTGTACCGTTGGATACAAAATTTGCCAGATAATGTCACTGAAATAAGTTTGTTCTCTGATACCTGTAGCGGACAGAACAGGAATCAGTTTATTGCCGCTTTATTTTTATTCATAGTACAAAACAGCACTTTAAATATTGTAGAGCACAATTTTTTAGAGTCTGGCCATTCCTACATGGAAGTCGACTCTATGCATAGTGCAATAGAGAATGACAAAAACAACGTTCTTGTTTATACTATGCATGATTGGTTGAACGTTTTTCGACTGGCGCGTTCGAATCGCGGCCGAAATAAAAAAAGTGACCCTTACAATACCCAAGAGTTAAAGTATAATGACCATGGACAAAAACAGAACCATGGACGAAAGTGGAGAACGTGTTAACTGGCTTAAAATTAAATGTATGCGATATGAAAGAGCTAAACCTCAGTTTATAATGTTTAAGTACAATTAAGTGATCCAGAGTTTCGTATGCTTAACGTAGCTGGACGTTGTAGTCGCAATGTAAACAGTCTTGTCATGCCAAATGGAATACCACGATTGTATACTAAACAGGTTCCAATTTCAAATGTGAAAAAACAGGACCTTTTAAAACTATGTAAGACGGGAGCAGTACCTTCCGAATTTCATGCCTGGTATCAGTCTATCCCAGCAGAAAATACAAAGAAGGATGTAGCACCAGAGCCATTATTTTGGTCCGAATCGGATTCGGATTAGTTTTAGCTGTAAATAGAAAACCCCTTTCGTTATTGTTTGCATTTATAACTATTTTATTGTAAAAAATAGAAATAAACTGTTTTTTTGTGTTCATTTATTAAATAAAAGTGTATTTTTGTTTGGCCATGTCTGTAATATGAACAAAATTGTACATGCAAAAATGACCAAGCCAATTTTATTTTGAAAACCAACATATAAAATGCAATTGGAATACTTAATTATGAACGACTGACTGCATCTTAAAAATCTAAAATCTCTATTAAATATCTAATCTCTAATAAACTTTTTAAAATAATACTTAAAAAAATTACAAATTTTCAAGATCAATTATCCAGAAATGATAATAACCGACTTGGTCACTTTTGGCAGTATGCCCACGATGTGTCTACAAAAAATAGGTCATAAAAGCAATGAAGGTAAACCTTATCGATGGAATGTGTATGGTTTTGCTAATTGCGTTCAAATGTTGTTTCTCAGTTCGAGTTCAATCTTGTAGTTGTTGTGAAAGGCGACAAAAATGCCAGGGCACGAAATTTCTGCCTTCGATAGGGCCCGAATTATCGCTTTTCATGAAGAAGGTCTCAGCAGGCATCAAATTGCTGATCGTTTAAATTTATTGCGAAGTACTGTAAGCCGAATTATACAACGATATAGTCTATAAAATGAATAACTTTGAATTTTGACCGTTATTTT